TTTAAAATCACTGAAGAATTTTAATTTGCCAGCTGCATAGGTAAGGAATCTTTTCATTACTGAGGATCTGTACATGAAAATGTTGGGAGGGTGAGAACTCTCATTCCTTGGGCCAAGAGAAGCTGTAGGTGTTGAGGAATGACACAATTTACAGGGACAGAGTACAGTCTACATGGCTTTCAATCACTCCCTATGAGCTGGCTCTAAGAAGGCATTGCAAATTTAGAGGAAACAAGGAATATGTAATTAGGGTTTATGTGTGTGGAAAAAAAGGTTGAAGGATTTGGGGTGGAGACATGGTATGGGGCTAAAGCTATCAACTGCCAATAGCTCACATGTAGTCCAGGCCAATTCTCAAATCACTGTTTAATAATAATTTTTGCCACTTATACATACAAATTAAACAGAAGTGAAGTGCTCAAGGCCACACAGCAAATCAGTGGGAGAGCTGTTAGAAAATTCAGGTATTCCTGACTCCAAAGCCTTAAGTGTGGCTGACATATGAGGCATCTAATGGAATTTTAATCTCCAATAAGGGACAGTTGTTTCTCTTTCCTTAGCAATAGCACAGTTTCTAGATTTTCTGTCAACTGGCCAAACTGCATTTTCACCTGTTTTTGGAAGAAAAAAGAAATTGAGGGCAAACATGAGCTCATAACACGTTACATAGCTGATACTACAAATGTTTCAATATAGTCTTAGGACCATGAAAGGGCATTAATGCAGCAGGTCCTGCCCCTTTTCACTTTTTGGATGTGAGAGCTTTGAACCATCACTGCTGGGAAATCTAAGTTCTTCAGGTTTAGTCCCTTTTGACCCCTTAGCTACCTCTTGCAGCTCTTTACATAGACAAAGAGACTGGGACTTTTTTGAATGATACCTCTTTATCCCTTTTCCTGTTTCATCAGCCTATTCGTGATTTTCTTTCTCCCTAGTGTGCATCTGTTTTCTCCATATTCTTTGTCCTCATCCTCTCTTTAAAGCATTTTTCTAAACCAAGATTATGTTGTTTTTAATGCAAAAAAGTACAAAATGCAAAAGCAGGAGGAAAAAAATGTGCCTGCTAACAGTGACTCCAAAACACACAGTCTGTTCTGCTTAGTGTCACACACCTTCCAGACCTTCATATCTTCAGTCTCATACATGAGGAAAAAACAAAAACAAAAATAAGGCTTATAATTTTCTGCAGGCAGTTATACAAAGTGCAAAACTAAAATCAAATATACCCAAGAGAGGCATATTTCAGAATTTTCTCAGCTTCCAATACAGAGCAAAATTAAAAATACAATTTCCTTCCAGCCCTTTGGCTTAAATAAAAGCTTGTGAATTCTTATAAAAAGAACTACTATATTACTTTATTCAGCCTCCTGGACAGTAACTAACTTAATAGAAGGCTGACTTGTGTTTTTAGTTGTTTTTTTTCCAGTTCCCTGAGGCTCACAAAAATATAATCCCCACTTTTGCCTCTGTCCATCACCTACAGACATGGAAAATGCATGCAGCATGGCATCACATGGGGTGGTATAATCATAGGGGTTTCTAAACAGTGTAAGAAACTTCAGGTTTGAACCATAACTTCTCATCAGGGTCAGCTCAATTCTTCTTTGTAGACTGAGTATCACCTATATGCTTCACTGTGCATATAGGTCTTTCAGCTGAAATCTTAAAATCTGGAGATCATGTCTTAGTTGATGTTAAAGTTTCCGTGGTACTTTTCTTAAAATCAGACGTTTCCTCCTGAGTCGTTGGCCAAAATTAACACTCCTCCCACTGAGTACTGGTGCTCTCTCTCACAAATATGGCAGCGTTTTAGTGGTACTGGAGCTATATGGTGTATAGAATATTTGGGGAATCTTTCATGATAATGGGTGCTAAATATATGTAAAAAGCAACAAAGAGTCCTGTGGCACCTTATAGACTAACAGACGTATTGGAGCATAAATATATGTAAGACGGTTTTAATTTAGAGAAACAATCTCAGTGTGAGGATTTGGGGAATTTGTCTATGTACACCTTATAAACTGACATTATGAAGTTGTTATGAAATTGTTGTATCATTGAATGCCTGTTATGTGGTGGTAGAGTCCACCATTTGCTGACAGGGACTGTAGCTCTCTTGTCCCTGGTCTCTGCCAGACCAGGAACAATGGTGAGTTATAAACTGTGCTGTGACTGAACAATGGGTATGCGAAGGTAGTTGCCTGAATGGAGAAAACAGTTTGACCAAGTTTCTCTCCAGAGGGCTGGTGAATTCAAGTGAGTCAGAGAGACACAGGAAGCATTGGGCAGGAGGGGGGGGCATGTTTTGTAGTAGGGGTGTCCTGTTTAACTATGGGACCAGACATGATCAGAGAAAGCTGACTGGCTTAGGGCGGGGAGAGACACACTCTGATTCTGAAGAGAAGCTGTTGACTTCAGGAGCAGGATCCTGGACACAACACAGGACTTTGCCAAAGCTCAAAGAACTCCCTAGAGTGTTGAGGAAACTGATCATGGAAATAGGTGTGTTTATTATTTTGTCTAGATATGTATATTTCTCATGCTGCTAAGTAAAGAGTAAATTGTGTTTAGATTCCTGTGAAAAACCTGTGTGTCTGTTAGCTTTCAATGTCATGTGTCCCTGAAGAGTCAAACTGTAAACCTAGAGCAGCCACATGGGAGTTCTGGGAGAGGGTGTGTTTAGGCTACAGACAGACTTTGAGGGGTCAGCACTAATCCCAGAGGTGAGGCAGTTGGACTGAGGAGTCCCAGCTGCCTGGAGGGGGAGCTACAGAGGATCTGTACTACAAGAGTATGCCTAGAAACCCCACCCAGGCACAGTGTCTGGACTCTGTTCAGACTCAGGAGGCTCAATGCACGTGTGCCTAATGAGATAGAGCCTGGTGAGTGTCCAGGCAGAAGGGGAGCTCTACCAGGGCGGGGTGTGTGTGTGTGTGTGTGTGTGTGTGTGTGTGTGTGTGTGTGTGTGTGTGTGTGTGTG